CCAGAGGATTCCTCTAGACGGAATTTTTTATCATCATAGATAAAACAGTTGTTTAAATCTGAAATCAAATGTTAACTATTACATATAACAGTAGAACTAAGTTAATTTTGCAGACAGCTCTCTAAAAAAAATAGACTAATGGAGTCGCCTCATTCGCCACCTTCTGGCCGACCCAAAAAATACACATCCACCCTGTGACTTAATGGCAATCGTGGCTATGTGGCTGAGTAGATAACGTGTCAATCTCTGATGCCTCATTGTCCCGGTTCGACTACCGCTTGTGTTGTTGATAAGACCTATGCGAGGTCAAACTTCAGTGCACCCTGGATGAGAACAACTTTTGGCAAAGCAAGGTTATGCGAAATTCAATGGAAACGTCAGCTCTACAAATTCATTATGGGAAAATTATATTACCTGTCCTTCACTGCCTTAAACGAAATAGGGTGAATTTATCTCATATTGACTGATTTTACTCCGATCCAGTCCCAGTAAAGGTTTTACTCCAGGCGCTTTTTCTGAAGCCTTCAGTAGCACGCGCACTGTCGCTTTACCATTAAAAGAGTATTCGTTATGTCGACTTCTAATTGATCTCGCGTCCAGTCTGTCCAATATGTTCCATTATATCCGATTTATTGACATTCATTTTCCTGTATCGCCTTCGATGTTCCTTGATTTTCCTCCCTCTCAACGAAATATGACTGTGGAAGGCACAACTTATGCAGTAAACTCCTGAGAAATCCACTTTGTTCACCCTCTTATTTTGCCTGGGTAACTTTTCGAATGTTGTTTTTTCCTTCATAATCACCTAAATATTCAATTTTCTTGGTATCGGCCATAGTTTTGAAATTAGTTCGCATGAATATAGGTTTATTCACTCTGGGGAGTATTTCTCTATTCTTAATTTTTGCCTTAATTTTCATCCTGCCATTGACTTTTTATGGTCCGAATATTTTATTTTATTACATCACTCAGGTATCCGTTGCGGAAGAATATCTCAGTCAATTTGTCTAATTCATCATCCTAAAATTTCACATCCGTTAATCGTAGTGTTCTGATGATCATGCGCTTCGTTATTCCTATCCTTAGCCTGAAAACGTAAAGAGATTTTAAATTGGGTATTATTCCGGCATATTACTTCTTTCTGAACAATTTCCTCTTAAGCGTCTACTCTAATATTCAAAAAAACTTCTTTATAGACTAAAACATGGTTAAATAATTCCTTAGGATAACTTATTGTTTAATCTATATAGCGCTTAACTATTTGTCCTGATATATCTGGCTATGACCCAATAGAGCGAAGTAGCTATCTATTATTTTAGATTTCATCGCTCATTCAGGACTAGTGACGTCAAATTATATCAAAGTTTGCGATATTATATCGTTGACAATTGGAGTTTCCGTACAGAAGTTAAGGCATAGAAAAATAAAAGTCGATATGCCTAAAATTATAAAAAATTATTGGGTAATTTTGCAGGCAATTAAGCAGAAATATTTTGCTATTCGAATATATCTATTCTAAATCGATAAAGTAATTTATTCTCATTTTTTATCCACCCTAATTAAATAAATTCTAGAGGCCACGGATTAAAGAATTTTAGCGTTGTTTTTAGTAATTCTTTGCAAGCACAAAAAGAGATACTCCACTACTGTAATATGAAACTTTTATGCACATGCTTTAAATGAATTGAAGCGATTACTAAGGTTTTTTAGGTCTACCTACTTGATTTTAGATTTACTAACTTTTCGGGATAACGTTTTATTAGTTTGATGCTTAATCTTTTCACGATGCATTTATTTTCAAAAGTACGTAAAAATGTCCCTTAGCATCCAGAGCCTTGGAATCATCTCAATTTCATCGGTACTTCTTAATTGTATCGAGTTCTTAATGTACCGATTTACAGAAATATACAATACTCCTTAGAGTATATTGCCAGATGGTCCCCTCTGTACACGACGATTATGAATGTTATAGTAAATACGACTTATAAATTTGTACATACGCACTATTAGGAAATGATGCAGCTTGATAACACTTAATCCTCTAAAAACTGTTAAACTAGCTATAACTAATGACTCTCAGATGAATATGCAGCAATGAGAGTATATTCCTTTTCATCCGCATGATAATAATCATGCCAGCAGTCAGCAAATAAGCGAAATTTGATTTTCAGAAGGGGATGTACTGAAAATAATCTATAGTGAAATTGGTAAATAACGCAATACAATTGTTTTAATACTTTTTTAAACATTAAGATACTCTTCAAAGATATGAAAACTAAGATGGTATGGCCTTTGTGTGGTCGCAGTCTCCT